CATGTTAAACGTTTTTGACATTGTTGGTATAAAGAATTGAGAAAGTTAAGACTTTGATGAAGAATGTTTTGGTTACATCACAATTTCCTACATTCATCAATTGAACAAGAAGGGTAACACAACATCCAAAGGTAAAAGCAGTGTTGTCTGAACTGAAAATGGTTCAAGGCATGTTAGTATAAGTTCTCTCCTACGAAGGATTAATTTAGTAATATATTTGGGTGATCCACATGGAAATGAAAATTATATATTTGATGTAGGAATAGAGAAGCTTTCAATAATATAAGGATCGTTTGTTTTTTAAATCATTGACTAGCAAGCATAGCATTGTAACAAACAATACAATGAAGTAGAACTATGGACAAAACATGTTTGTGTGCGTATACATGATATGAACTGCTTATCTGCAAGCCAGTAAATAATTGTGATAAAATAAACACTAATTTACAATTTCTAAGGTGCACAAAAGATCTCTTCCTGATTTGGAAACAAATTCTATCTGTCCAAAATAAACCAGTACATAGAAGTGATTAACGGATACTAGATTTTAGTTTGGTCCACATCATGATGATGCATATAACTAAATGAAATAGTGAAATTCTGTGGGGATTACCTTGGCTTAGCAGTTAGGAGTAGTTAAAAAGTGAAAGACGCAATCATGTATTTCTATAATTATCTGATAAAATCTTTATGCCCTTTTGAGGAGCCTTATATTACCACTAGAATTAAGAAAGTGGAAAACAAAACATTAAAGTCTGTAAAACAGGAACTAAAATGAAAACATAAACCAACAAGTTCTCTAAGAAGAAAAAAAAATTCAATATATTTTTTTTTAGTATCTTTATCAAAAAATAACACAAACTTCACAAATTTCAACATGATACATATAAATTACAATTATATTTTGATCGTAACATTATTTATACCGTGCCTTTAGGCACGGGCATATACTAGAGATAAGATAGGACTGTTTTTGAAAATATATAAAATGTATTAGAGATACATTTAAAATTAACGGCTGAGATGAATTTTAAGTATATATGAATGGTTCAGATTGGTTCAGATGAATGTTGATTGCCGCCTAATATACCCACATACCCATGTTTGACCCTATCCCCCTCTCACCTTCCCCCCCTCTCTCTTTCTCTGTTCTTCTTCTTCAACAGAAGCAAAAAACACACCCGATGCTCCTCTACGTCTCAAACCCTCCCACCTTCCAATCTGTGTAATTTGGGGTTTGATTTCCTTTTTTTGGTGGCCAATACAGACTTATAGGTTAAATCTAACTTCACAATTGTATATTAAAGTTGTATTTATTAATTGTTTGAATTCCTGTTTATTGATAATTCGCAGTTTTCATTATTTTTTATCTCGATTACTATCTCTTCGCAGTGCTATGCATATGCATATCTATTTTACCTAACACAGGCCCTCCATTAGAAATGAGAAGCATAGTGGCAATGAGGTAAATAGTTTTTGAGTTTGTTCTATATCACATGATTCAAACTGTTATATTGTTATAGAAACAGGGATTGTGAGAGAAATATGGATTTAAAAATATAAATAAATAAAACTCTTAAATGATTGATAGATTGGGGTAAATAGTATAATTATCACTTGGCTGGTTCTGTTTTTGATTAAATATTGTTCAGGTAATTTCAGTGTTTTTTTATGTTGTGTTTTACTCAATTTCTGTCTCTCCACTTCTCGTTCAGTGTTGCTACAATTCAAACGCATCGTTCTTCAGTTCAACAGAGGTAAGTTCTCCAGTTCGTTGTGTTGACAATCCAGTTCTTTGTGTTGATTGTTTATGGGCCAGTTACATTGTGTTATTTTAGATTGTTATTATTAGAATTCCATTCTCCCAAACCCACAATTTTTTGAATCAATCTAATACATTTTTTTGAATCAATCTAATACATTTTTTAAACAAAATATAAACCCACAATTTGTTTATTAAACCCATCCAACCACCAAGAACTACATTAGTTTTTTGAACTGGTTTGAGGAAGATGGTTGTGGTGACCAATTTTGTTGTAAACTAGTTAGAGTTGGTTTTTTTTATCGCACCATTTAGTGTTTTTCTCATTACCACTGGTTAGTTTTTTTCCCCCCCCTATTAGTTAGTGTCATTTGGTTTTTTTTCCCCCTAATACAATTTGTTATAGTTTTGTATCTTCGTATAGTGACTTAATTAAAAGCCAACAGCTACTTTAGAGCCATACTCTCATAATTTTTTTACTAACAGCCTTAACTTCAATAATTGTATCTGCCTGGCTTCCCACATCGAATAACTTCCCACCTTTCACAAACACTCACCATCATGGACTTAGCCCATCTAGATTCAGCAAAAACAGAGGCTATCCCATCCAAATTCAGCATCCCATTTAGTGTAACATTTCTTTTGGAGCATTTTTGTTTTTTTTTGTTTTTGTTTTTAATTGGGCCAAAGGTCACTACATTGAGGGCGCTGAGTTGATCGATTCTGTTCTCGATGATGTTCGCAAAGAGGCTGATAATTGTGATTGTTCGCAAAGCAATAACAAATTGTGATTGTTTGCAAGGTAACTGTTCTTGGTAGCCATGTGCATGTAAAACAGCATATAAGTTGTAGAAGTAAAGAAAACCCACCAAATAATCCCACAACCCACTCATTGTTATGATATATTAATTGAAACGCACTTACTCATTGGTAGATCAAAAAAATCCATCAGATCACAACATGTTTCCTTTGGTAGTTGTGCGACCAAAGTTTTTGAAGCGTTGAAGCTTCAATCTCCAAGTAGTACGCTCATGCTTCTCAACATTATGTTCATTTTTTCCTTTCACTTTAATTTTGATGTCTTATAAATCTGTGTTTTTATCAAATTCTTAGCAGGTTAGCTTGGCATTGCAAAGTTCATAAGAGCATCCAATCTAGGTATTGTGGTTCTATTTTGTGGTCGAAAAATGGGAACTTTTGCACTAAATGCTTAATTTTCATGTTTTTTGTGGGTTTGACTATAAATTGTTGAACATGGTAAAGTTTGGGAGAATGGTATTGTATGAGTGGTGAAAAAAAACTATTGCTAAATAATATTTATCACATTGTTGATTGAAAATTCACAGTTTTGTTTATTTTGGATTCAAATTAATGTATACTGCAATCTTATGTGTTTTGATGCAATTGTTTGGATTTGATTTATTTGTTTGTTGTTAGATTTTTATTTTCTCATTGTAAGTGTACATCATTGTAAGTGTATATCAGTGTTTATTCTCTTCATTAATAGTGTTTAGTGTTCGTAAATTTGATTTTTTGTAAAAAAAAAAAAAAAAATTTAATTGTGAAGTGATTTTTTGCGCTGATTTTTCTACTTTGAGGGAAATGATAGAGAAAACAAATGTTCTGTAAATCCATATTTTCATTGGGTTTGGTCCCAAAATTAAATTCTGTGAGGGAAAGGTACAGGACGAAAATGGTCATACCGGCGGTGTATGGGAGGACAACAACTCTTTTTGTTTTTGCTTTGTTAGAAAATACGTGTTTAGTATTTATGACTAAGTAGTTGTTCTTACCTATTCCTGATTTTGAGTTTTTCATTGACAATCTATTTATGATTTAATTTTTATGGCTGTTGAGAGAACAGAGTGTTCCTAGAAGTTTGAATTTGCACATGACACTGATAGCTAAACTAATAATTCATGTCTTATGAATTTCTATTTATTTGTTTCTTTCCACTGTATTTGAAAACTAGATGAAATAACCTGACATTTTCTGAAAACTAGAGATTCAGTTTTTGGATTTGGAAACTTTGTAGGGGTAGTGGAGGTCAACAGAGTTTTACCCACTGATTAATCTAGATATGGGTTGTGAATTACACCGTGCCTTCAGGCACGGGCATACGCTAGTATGTAGATATGATAGGTGTTGTTGAGATAAGGATGTTAAGGTGGATGTGTGGCAAGACTAGAGAGTTAGGCATGAGTATATTCGAGAATGTGTAAAAGTAGTATCGATAGAAGATAAGTTGAGAGAGAATAGATTGAGATGCTTTGGCCATATACAAAGGAAACAAATAAAGACAGTAGTGAAGAGGTGAGATACAATGACGGTAAATGGAAGTATTAGAGGAAAGAGCACACGACGTGGGCTAGTGTAGTAAATAAAGATATGAATTTTCTTAATTTGACTAACGAAATGGCCTTGGATAGAGTCGAATAGAAAAAAAATAATTCATATAGCTAACCCTATTTAATACGACTTAAGACTTGGTTTGATTTGATTTAGTCAATTTGAATTTTTGATGTTTTTGAACATTTTTCATATTTTAGTCAATTTTTTTTTTAAATGCATCTAATCTATATGTATTTAAAAAATAAAAATTTGTAAAAAAATCTTTAAAAAATTCAATAAGTACCAATAAATACGAAAATATACTTATTTTTTGTATTATTTATATTTATTTTTATTTTTAGTGATTTTTTTTGTAAAATAAATTCTCAAATTTTATACCTTTTAAGTAAATATTAAAATATTAAAAAAAATTCACTAAATACTAAAAAAATATGAATAAAAAACATAAAACTATTTTTAAAAACTCCAAAAAAGAAGTAATTAAAATTTAAAGACAGAGATCCTCAATCAGCGATATGAGCACCCTTCTCTAGGCAACGGTATAATTGACACACTTGATTTGACAAATTAATTTTTGGAAGCACTTTAAAAGTTCTTTTCTGACTTCTCAAATATATGGACAAAAATGAAAATGATAGTGTTTTTAAACTTTTAATTATTCTTTTCCCCTAAAAATATGAAAAATATATATATATCATAAAATGGAAATGAAACCAAACAGACCTAATTTTTGGTGACCATAACACAAACTTAATTTTCCTTTCTCATTTTTGTTCACCTTTAAAAATAAATAAATAAATAAAAAATAAAAAATAAAAAAACTTACAACTTCAACTGGCTTATGTTCCAAAATATTGGGTATAATTCCAGACCACCGATATCATTATTCATTCGCAACTGTTGCTCAAAGTTACTTCCATTTAAGGGATGCTGCAAACCAGACCTAAACCCTAAATCATATATTTGTATAACCATGATGAATCTAGGTGATCTCCATCGTTCATTACATTTGAATCATAGGGTTTGTCAGTAACTTTCTATAACAAAGTGTTACAGTTCTTCAATAACATTTGTGGGCTTATAATGTTCATCACATAACTCAATTACAATCCAGACAGCAAAGGAATGGAAGTTTAGTCAGCTAGATAGCAAACTTTTCAAGTACCATTCCACAATGTCTAATCCACAGAATTCCTTCACGACTGGCATCGTAGCTGGGACCTCCAACTGGAACGTTGAATTGGACCCATCTAACCCTTTCCAAGAACTAAGCTGTTTTCTAGCTTCTTTAATGGCTGCTCTTGTTGCACAGTGAACCGAAACCGCCAGAAGCAATGGCGGCTCACCAGAAGCTGCACAAAAATGTCTCAGTTCAATTTAATGACTGAACCAAAACAAAACTTGGTGCTGTTTGGAGCAGCTTATGGAGCTGCTTTGCTTAAGATTTTTTTTTTGGAGTCATGTGACAAACTGTTTGGTGCAATTTCTGTTTATAGCTTATTAAGCGAAAGTTACTTAAATAAGCTCTTTTAGCTTTTGCTTTATGATGATTATGAGCTTTTAACTTACAATAAGTTGCACCAAATATACCCTTTATCATTCAGAACAGGGACAAATGGGAGTTTGCAGACACGTTTTTGTAACATATTATATGTATTTCATCAGTATTATTAAATATTGAGATGGGTGATAATCATTCACTATAGAAAGTTCATCAAAAATACCTATATGTGTGATAAAGACCAGCCTTATAATTACTTTTATCAATTTTTTTAATAATTTCACTTTTAGTTCATGCAATTTCTACTGGCATATTGTAGATGGTTGTCATATCCAGATCTGAATAATACAATTTAATTATCTTTGCTTGTTTATTTATGTTGGTGTGCATTACCAAAATTCAAAAGTTGTGTTGTTTCGGAAAGGATTCCAAAATGTTTCCATTTCAGCTAACATGAAATCATTTTCAGAATATAAACTTAACCAAGATTGCAAACCAGTGGAAGCAAGTGAAAATAATTGCAAAAAGATGGAGATGCAAGTGGATCTATGTTCTAGTGCAAGTGAAAACTATGTCCTCACTTGCACCAAAACAAGAATCCCACTAGCACCTCCAGATTTTTTTTTGCAATTGCTTTCACTTGTTCCACTAATTCGCAATTCCCCCCCTAAAATAAATCCACTTATACAATTTAAGAAAAAATTACTTGCATTGTATTAAGAAGTTGAGAGGGCTAATGATGGCATAGCCCTTGATTGATTAGAAGTTCATCATCAGATTTGGAAGCCTAGGGTGAAGCCCATGGGCTCAAAGACCTTTTGGTTTCAAAGATGTGGTTGATAGATTATTATTATTGATATTTAGAATAGCATCAAGACGATGCAAAAGAATACAAAAAGGAGAACCCCTATAAGGGAAGGCCCAACCTCGTAACCAATTAAGTCATCCAAAGAGTACAGAAAGAGTTAAATTACATAATTATTAGTAAGATATATCTAATTGTGTTTCCAAATAATAACAGGAATAGTTTTCTCTTTCAATTAGGGTTCATAGTCTATAAATGCTAAGCTTTACAGTGTATTGATCAGTTTTGGTTATGTTGTTTGAGGAAAGGCCGTGGTGGTTGTGTGTTTCTCTTCCTCTCTTCTTTCTACATCAGTTAATTAGCAACACTGCTATTCACATATTCTTCATTTTTTAATTTACACAAAAAATGAAATCTCTGTCCATCTCAAAATAATCAGGTACACCCATCAAAGTTTTTCATTTTTGATTTTGATTTATTTTTAAATCTTCAACAGATATCACATTACTTCCATCTCCAAGGATTTAGCCAAACCCCATTTCAATAACAGAGTGATCTAAGTGCATCATCCACGAAGAAAGTTTTGATTTTTTTTTTTTTTCACAGAGAATTGAACGAACTTCAAAAACATACCTTTAGAAGAGAGAACACGGTTTTGGTGATGTCCGCTGTTTAGTAGCTCAACATTGAACTGTTTGGGTATGTTGTCAACAGTTGGGATCTTGTATGTCCATGTGCCGTCCGAAACAACCAATCCATCAGAGTTTGTGAGATATTCTTCAAACATAAAAAATCCAACTCCTTGTACAAAGGCTCCTTCAACCTGTTAGCAGCAAGTAAATAAAGATTAAACCTTCCATTTGGCTAACAAAGCAAATACAAACGCAATAAAAATAAATAAATAAATAAAAACTTGATAGTCATAATCATTGTTGTCAAATTGTGAATCAAATCATGAATTAGATTGAATCGTAAATTGTCGTTATATTCACTTTCTCTAACATAATATATAATTTTATATACATACATACACAAAAATATACATATGTTGTTTAACATGAATAAATATTAATACAACTAAATTGTATATATGTATATATATATATAAAATCATGTATATCAATATCATCAGTTTTCTTTTTTGATTTTTTATAAAAAATTTGCGAAGACAATGTCAATTCATACATTATGCGAACAAAATTGAATTGTTTGAATCATAGTGAATCTTAATGAATCGTAATGAATTGTAATTGAATCTCAAGATTTACTCATTTAAGATTCAAATGCACAAATCAATCGTTTTGCTTGAAACTCATATCGAATCGTATGAATCAAATCATGAATTGTAAGATTCTAAAACACATCTTAATCATCCCTACAAGAAGAAGAGACCTAGAGGTCTCAAGAAGATGACGGTGTTTACGCTCGGCTCGATCATTTTGGGCAGGTGTATTTGAACAGAAAGTTTGGTGAATAGTATCCAAATTGGTCAAATACTCACAAAACTCATTTTTAAAATATTCCCCACCCAAATCAGACCGTAACACTTTAATTGTAGACCCAAATTGAGTAGTAATCATAGACTGAAAAGTACGGTATATCTGATAGAAGTCAGACTTATGAGTCACAAGATAAACCCAAGTGTAACGGGTGCAATCATCAACAAATGACACATAGTATGCAGAACCCCCCTTGGTGAGAACAAGAGAAGGGCCCCAGCCATCGGTATGAACTAAAGAAAATGGTGTAGTAGATATAGAAGTACTGTTACGGAAAGGTAAGGCTGTCATTTTGGCAAGTTTACACCCCTGACACTCGGTAAGTTGACTAGGAGAAACTTTGCGCAATATACCTGACTGAGCTAGACCGTAAGCGGTCAGCAGACAAATGCCCTAATCTGGAATGCCACAAATAGAAAGGACTGGACAGAGAATCTAACTGAAAAGAAGAAAAGGTAGTCGGAGAGGTAGTCATAGGCAGATGCAAGCTCTCCACCACATAGAGGTCTCCAACTCTACGACCAGTCCCAATCTGCTGCTTGGACATCCGATCCTATATAGAACAAATAGAAGAAGAAAAGATAACATCAAAACCAGAGGCATCAAGTTGACTAATAGATAATAAACTGACAGATAACAGAGGAACATATAAAACAGATGGAATAGAGACTGCAGACATAGCAGATGGTAGGACAGACCCAACAGATATAACTGACATACCAGACCCATTAGCAGTATTAACAGTAATAGGAGAGGAATGAGGAGTACAATTCTGAAGTAAAGAGAGATGAGGAGTCATATGATGAGAGGCACCAGAGTAAAAAAGCCAGACAGACGAAGAGATACCTGAAGGAGACCCAAGCAAACCTGAATGAAGAGATGAAACAACGGAGGCAGATTGAGATGGCTGGGAGGTAGACAATGTATGTTGAAGCTGACTAATCTGAGCAGTCAAGGAAGCCAAGTCAGGATCAGGAACCGGAGCAGATACAGTAGAATCGGCGGGAGGTCGAATGGTACTCAGAGAAGGAGCGTAGAACTTAATCAGCAATTGCTGAGAAGATGAGGCAAACACAGACAAAGCAGACAAACATCCCTTCTAATAAGACCTTAGATTATATAGCCCTAAATCCTAAACCAAAAGGAAGAATACAATTGTGCCTCTAATAGGACTCTAACACAACCATACTTCTAATAAGACTCTAAGTTGTACAACCACAATCATGCCTAATTTGAAAAATAATAGAAAATACACAATATATTCTCACACCCCCGCTCAAACTCAAGGTGTTTTAGCAGAAAACACTAAGAGTTTGCTAAGAAGAAACTGAAACCGAACGGTAGTGAGTCTTGGTGAAGAAGTCCGCAAGTTGTAAAACCGAAGGGATGAAAAGAAGCGAGATAGAAGCAGACTGCAGATGTTGGCGAACAAAGTGACAATCAATCTCAATATATTTTGTCCGCTCATGAAAGGCAGTATTGTGAGCAATCTGAACAGTACTGCGATTGTCACAATAGAGAGAGGTCGGAGAAGACTGAGAGACACCCAAATCAGACGAGAGACAACAAAGCCAAAAAATCTCAGCAATGGCATGAGCCATAGCACGATACTCAATTTCGGCAGTAGAGCGAGCAACGATTGATTGTTTCTTGCTTTTCCAAGAGATTAAGGAATCTCCAAGAAACATACAGAAACCAGACATAGACTTACGATCAGTAACATCACCAACCCAATCAAAGTCAGCATAGGCTACCAAGTCCAAAGAGAAAGTAGAGGACAATAATAAGCCCTGAAAGATAGTATCCCTGAGATAGTGAAGAACGCGAACCAAACCAGCCCAATGGGTAGAGCGGGGGTGAAGCTGATCGCGAGTTGCTGATGATGACTGAAGATGATCGCGACCCACGAACCAGAGAGACCCACGTACCCTAAGTCGCGACTGTGAAAAAGACCAGAGAACAGAGACGACTTCGAACAACAGGCGACAACTTCGAACAACAGGCGTGGATGCCGGCCAGACTTAGGGTTTCAAACATGGCTCTAATACCATGTAAGATTCCTGAAAGCTTTTTGTATCTCGTATATTCAATGTGTGAATGATTACAATCAGACCTTAGATTATATAGCCCGAAATCCTAAACCAAAAGGGAGAATACAATTATGCCTCTAATAGGACTCTAACACAACCATACTTCTAATAAGACTCTAAGTTGTACAACCACAATCATGCCTAATTTGGAAAATAATAGAAAATACACAATATATTCTCACACCCTACAATCAGTGATGAATTATATTGAGCATTTTTACTTGTAAAAACTTACCTCTTGCAAAAACTCAACTTTTTGCAATTAATAGAATATGATCTTGTACTAAATGAAATTACAGTGCATATGAGAAAACAACAAAGGACAAGTACTTTGGGATTGGAATTGAGTTTAAAATACTATGGCAGTCAGGCCAACCTGTCCCAAATCCACAGCAGGGTTCATACTCTGCCCGCAATCATAGATAATATCTGCTTGCAAAATACTAGTTTCTCCAGTCAAGAGGTTTACTTCCACCTGCAAAACCCAGTGCCATTTTTATTATTCAATTTGATATTACGATACGGCAGACCATTTTGTTACCAAAAAATGTTAATACCTAGCTATTTATAGTGTGGAACGTACTTCCTGAAATATGGTACATTTTTTTTCCATTTTTACTTTTTGAGGATAAAAAATCATACAACGAACTAAAATCTAGAGAGTGAATTTTTGGCAGAAGAAAAAATGTAAAAAAAAAAATTGGGATGTAATACTCATAGAAATGTTTTTATTTTTATTTTTATATATGATTAATTTGAAAATAATAGACAATATTTTATTCGATGTCTAGGTATTATAGACAATTGCTCATAGGTATAAGAGTACTTTAAATTCTGATAGTTTGATATATACAAGCCTAGCCCTATCATATCACATTTTAGAGCACTTGATGTACCACATTTCCATTCCCGTTTCTCGTACCAGAACAATCTGCGTTTCAGTTAACATAGGCCAGGACACACAATTCCTAGAATGATTGCAGTATCACTCTCAACAGTATGCAATAGCGAAATACTTAGCATTCGAGGAGCACTGCTCAGTGTGTAGTTCAATAAATGGGAAAGCATAAAAGAACACAAATTTTAAAAAAAATTCAAGATAAGATACAAATGAGTAACAGACGAACTTGAACTTACCTCGCTCACTGCAACACCATAATTCAGATATTGCATAGAAGTGAAGTCAGGCACATAGAAAGAACTTGTTGATAAGTTCACAGCTTGCAAATGTGCCTGCATTTAGAACATCACAAAAAAGTGAGACAGCATCATAGCAAAAACCTCAAACTATTCTATTGTCGCATTTTGTAAAACATGATTATCAACCAGCATATAAAATCTAGTCCAAAAAATTGAGCAAACATTTTGTTGACAATTTATCATTGGAAATCTCATTATCTCAAATATACAAAACCAACTTGATAATATGGAAGTAAACCAACCTGCTACAGGAGTAAGCTAATATTATACCCCAAGACAAAAAAAAAAGAGGCTAAAGTGCCCCTCCCCCTCAGTTGTGAGTTCTACCAATGAAATCAAGTGACGCACTCAATTCCCTCCTCCAAACTCCAAAAAAAATCATTGAGAAAGCCTCCATGATTTGCTCTCCACGTACCCCTTCTCTCTCTTCCTCACACACAAACATACAAATGCCCTCCAACCACCAAAAAGCTCCTACTTGACTTACCATCCAGAGGACCCCGTCATCTTTGAAATCCTTGCCGACTACTTGGCTCTCTGCAGTCTTTCTTTCTTTGAAATCCTTTCCAAGTCAAGTCAAGCAGTGGTGTTGGTGACAATACACAAGGAGAGGTACCAGAGAGACTGATATATCTCTTTTATACTCTACTAGATATTGCATATTTAGTGGGAGTTGTCAGTCAGTTTATGCATGATTCTTGTTATGCACACTATGGTGTTGTTTGTCGTATTTTGAGGTACCTTAAGTCAACTCCAAGGAAAGGAATCTTGCTTTTCAACCATGTTCACTTGAGATTGAGGCATTTATTGATTTGATTAAAACTGGGCTGATCCAGTTAATGATAGACGATCTACTTCTTGATACAGTAAATTTATAAAAGGGAATCTAGTTGCTTGGTGAAGCAAGAAATAGACAGTGATGGCTAGATCCAGTGCAAATACATAATATAATGCTATGGCAGATGAAATTTGTGACGTTACATGGCTTCGTGTTTGACTAGGAGATTAGAGGTATGTGATGATGGACATATGAAATTATATTGTGACAAGATGGTTGACATCAATATTGCCCACAATCCGTTCAGCGTAGAACCAAACATATTGAGATCAACAAGAATTTCATCAAGGAAAAATTGAATAAAGGATTATTTTGTATGACCTTTGTGACATTTGGAAGATTAGTTGACCGATATAATCACTAAAGGGTTCAGTAGTAAGGTTTTTCACCACATTGTTTGTCCTTTGGTCATAAGAAATACCTATGCACCAACTTGAAGGGGAGTGATAGAATATGTCCTTCTTGTTAGTCATTTCAATATATTTGCCTAAAAGGTTATTTTATACTTAGTATAAACACAAGTGAACAAAGGAGAGAACCTTAATCTTTCATTCTCTCCTTCATTAGCCATCACATTCACATTCTCTCAATACTCTCTTCTTCCATATTTTGAATACTTGGAATTCTAATTTCTTGCACCTATACACTGCAAGATGCCGTCACCCATAGAATACGCAAACTCAATTTGGATAGACGCACACGAACCAACAACATTAAAACTGAGAAAGTTCTCACAATAGTTTCTGACATTTGCCAAAGCTTTCATTTGAAGAGCATGATTAGGTTAGTGTGAACAATTATTATACACAATATAAAAATGCAAGAGTGTCTTAGAGTGAGAATCACTCTCAGACAGGCAACATACGTCAGCCCCGCAATATGACTTCTAGTCTTCTAACTCTAATACATTAAAGAAATGAAAATTTTTTAAAAAAATATTCAAAAGTGAAGATAAATATACCTGGAGAATCAGAGCCTCCCATTTTATAGAACCTGTTTGCTCCTCCAACTTTTCTTTAAGGGGGATTAGTCTTTCAACCAAGATATTGCAGCAAAGTCTAACTGCTTCACAGCTTGATTCGGATGTCGTGCTTCCAGCAGTGAAACCCCCTTGTATCAAGCTCTGGGTATCTGACTGTATGACCCGAACTTTCTTTAAGAGTTCTTCAGTTCCATCACATTGTATCATACTGAGAGCAAATGCGGTCATCTGTTTTACCTTTGTCCACAGCCCCTGGCCCAACTCAATCCCTCCAACTTCTACAACAATAGACCCATCCCGAAGAATACTTACTTTCCCCGGGGTAGGTCTCACAATCACTTCATGTATAATAGGAACTCGAGAAATGCCTCTTTTCCGCCATTTATTACACATATTGAAGTGTTGTATCATTTCAATCCTTTGGTGAAGGCATGAAGACCTAGCCAATTTATCCCAGATAGAAGGCAAAGTATACTCCACAGATTCACCTGCACTACCCTCGTAGAATAAATTCAGGCTGTCGAATGTGTGGAGATTTTTGTTTCTCACGGAATCCACTTCCATTGAAAGCACAGACGCTACATGTTCTATTACAGATTCGGCAATAAAAGATGCCTGCACCTCCCCAGGGGCCCGCATTGCAGATTTAGTAGAATGGTTTGTCTTGCACACCTTAAAATCAAAAGATAAAGCACCCCAATCATACTTTTTTAGTGCACCCAACATGTTCAGTGGCAAGATTGGGCTTATATCTACAAACAATCCACCATTGATTAATATATCAAGATGTAGAGCAGTGATCTTCCCACTGGATTTGAACCCAACACTGTATGTTATTTTCATGGGGTGCCTTCCTCCTGACATTACCATGTCAGTCTTGCGATTAAGATATATCCGGACAGGGCACTGTAATTTGTGTGCTGCAAGTGCACATGCTGTAGCAACCTAAAGTATACATGTAAGTACTTGCACCAAGTGGTTCATACATGTAAGGGCAGAAACAAAGCATTATTCCACAGTAACTGGAGGAAGCAGATCTAAAATCCAAAGAGAGAGAGAGAGAGAGAGAGAGGATAAAAACTTTTTAAACAAACATATATATGGGGAAAAACCCCTTCAGGCTAAAAAATGTCATAACCAAATAGTACAGTAACATTAACAATATTATTAAGAGCTAATTACACTTTATCCCTGATGTTTAGTTCGAAAACACGTAACCCTTGGGGCTTAGAAATCTACACTGACCCACCCTGTGGTTTGGAGTGAAGGACAAAACTAATCCAGCTACAATAACGGTGTGTTAACCATAGAAACAGTGTCACCTTTGGTGATCGCAGGCAATCCTATTCCAATGGTGCCCTGTTTAAAGATGGGACTACAAGAATTGGTGTTATTGTGAGAAATCACATAGGTGACGTTATTGCATCATGCTTGGAAAGAATTTATAAAGTTTGAGATGTAGATCATATTCAAGCTTTAAGTGCACTCAAAGCTACTATGTTCACCAAGGAGATTGGTTTGAACTATATTCTATTGGAAGGGAATTCACTAGCAGTGGTGCAAGCTGTTAAGGCGCAGTCGGAAGACCTTTCCAATATAGGTGCATTCATCCGCTCCATTAGATTAATTCTGAGGAGTTTTACCAGTGATACTTGTACACATTCGTCGACAAGGAAATCAATTAGCTCATGTGATAGAAAGAATGGCTCTTCAGGATGAATCTTGTATCTACTAATACTGTTTCTTAATTGTTATTTTCTCTTTGTCCATCAAAAGAAAATGTAATGGTAATTTCCAATTTACCTTTCCCACTTTCCAATAAGCAAAATGAGGAAAAGAACAAACACCAAAAAGGAAGGTAAAAAAAGGAATCAAACTTACTTCAAGTTTTTTCTTTTCTTTTCTTTTCTTTTTGGTTAAGATATTTTCTAAGACGAAACAAATACTAGACTGTATGATGTGCAAACCCAAAAGAATATTTCCAACAAAAATATACAAGGAAAAAAAGAGAGGAGAAGAATGAATCAAGAGTCTCCTTTTACTTTTCCTCATTGAATAGTGAATAGAACAAATGCATCATCCTAAAAAGTTAGTTTGCTGAAATTAAAGAAAATCCAATAGTTTACCATGAGGTTTTCAAAAAAGTCAGTCCGGAAACTTACACCATGAAATCCTCATAAAGGAACAAATTTTCATTTTTTAATTTTTCTTAAAGTTAATTTCTAATAGTCATTCAATTGGATACTTACAGGCATAGCTCTTATGGCCTTGCCACCGAAACCTCCTCCAACTCTTCTTGTAATCACACGGACATTATGTTCAGGAATACCAAGACAGCTTGCAATTGAAGCATGTGCAAACTCAGGGCACTGACTAGAACTGTAAACCAGCATGCAGTTGTCTTCATCTGGGATAGCAAGGGCGGTCTGTGTTTCCATATAGAAATAGTATTGAGACCCAAGTTTGATCTGCATACCAAAAATAAGAAAGGAATTTGATTTAAGCATACCAAAGAAGCACAGATACGGACATGTGACTTGACACAGTTGGACCTGCCAACACTGAAATTTTCAAAAAATGTAGAACACGACATGTACAAGCAAAATATATAATTTTATATATTTCTTATATGTTATATTTAAGGATAAACAATAACTATATGTCATATACATGAATATTTTATTCAAATATAATAACTTTTAATGTTTGAAGGAGGAGAATATGTCTAAATTTACATTGCTTTTCTTTTATCATTAGATTCTAAATCATTTTATTCAAATTTTTAGTGTGTTTCATGTGTGTTTAAGCGATAGACATGCGTTCTCCAAGCTTTCAAAGCATATACGAGTCTAGAAATTTTTTTAAATAGTAGGACATATTTGGACATGTATTTGACAGTCGTTGGGAAGTGTCTGATGAGTGATATGCCACCTTCTTAGAAGTGTTTGTGCTTCTTAGAAGCAAACATTATGAGAATTTGTACCCCACAAAGTTCTTAATCATTATAACAATGTCAAATTTGAAATGATCATTTTTAAAATATATCCCATAGAAATGGGGAAAAAATCAAAAATAAATAAATAACAGGAAAAAAGAAGAAATAAAATTATCACAAGTACCTTGGCAGAGAGAATCTTGTGATCAGCTTCAGCCATTCCTTTAGAGAAGTCACCAACCGGTGCCGGATTTAGGAAAGGAGGGACTACAAAAAAACTTGATCTCTCAACAGCCTCTTCAAGGGTTAAAATAGGGGGTTCCAAATTTTCAGTGTCATAATCAACCAAGGCAGTATCTGCAGCCATATCTGCAACCTTCTGAGTATTTGCAACCTAAAAACAACGTTCAACTTACTACATATAAGACAATAACCAGAAGAAAAAAATGGAATACCTTTTCTTGTATATATCCATTATATATAGACCAATGATAGAATATAGACCAATTAGATTATCAAATAGAAACAATTGAAACACGGAATTACCACAAATGCAAGGGCCTGGCCAGTACACCTAGTAAGATCATCAGCAAATAAAGGTTCAGGACCAAACATGGCCTGAGCACCTATATTGCTCCCACCATTAGGGATATCTCTGTAAGAAATAACTCCAGCTATGCCATCTTGTTGTGACTCAGATTTAATTTTGACACTCTTTACCCGTGCCAAAGGCTTTGTGCTATAAATGAATGCACCATGAAGGCAGTTTGTTGGCGAAGGAATATCATCCACATAGACAGCTTCACCTGCAAATTTGGCCAATCAAATTACAAGTAAGATGAAAAGTTGTATTGCTTGAGGGTTGAAGAGACAACATTCTGTGAAAAATAAATAAAGGCGAAAACAATAGAAATAATATTCAATTAAATAAAACCCCTTGCAAGTTTTATATTCTAGACACGGGGAAAAAAAAAACAAAAACAAAAACAAAAAACAAAAATACACTAGAGGAAGGGAGGAAAGCGTAGAAAACAAAAATAAGAAGAATTTTTTTTTTTTTTTTGAAGTTGTTAATCTAAAAACACATTTCAATTCAGCTGATCAGAGCTAGAAGTTAACATCATTAAAAATCTTTTGGACTCTGTAACACCTGGCCTTATATCAAACAAGATACATCTCTCCAACTGCAAGCATTCATTGAAATGAATAAATGAGCGTAGCAGTATGAAGTAAGCCATGCATGTCAAAACAAAAATAAAGGGCAGTACAAACCAGAAGCTTGGATAGCAGCACCAGATTTTGTAATTGGTTCACCCACCGGATAGTGCTTTTGGTTTGATTCCACCACCTGTTTTGCAGACAACGACAATGCTTGGTTTTCATTAAATCCATCTACCAGGCCATTAGTTAATTCACCACAAACATCAATGAAGGGACGAAGGAACTCAAAGAGAAAACCAACAGCCAAGCTTGACCTGTAAGCAGCTCTTGAAGTACCGATTTCGGGCACAATTGTGGCTTCAAGTAATTTAATAGCTTCAAAAAGAACATCAATGTTTAACAGTTTTCCAGCTAAGCATTCCTCGACCTTTCTTGCCCTTATTGCATGTTTAGTACCGTAAGCACCAAAAGCCAATTGAATATTGTCTATAATAACTCCATTAGAAGTTTTACATGAAGTAACTTCAGCCAAGAAAGCAGCATTTAAATAAGCCAAAGCATTCCCTAGGGATCGAGGTGCAGCACGATAGGTTTCAAACAGTAACTTCGTGTCAGTTTTTGTGGAACCATTTCTAGCTGTTTCCCAACATGGAATCTGTATACTTAAAAGCACACTTCTAGGATCTAAAGGAGGTCTTCCCAAGAACTCCTCCAATGTAAGCTTTTCATGTTTGAGATCTGTCATTATATTCACCGCTGAATCCACAGCAAGAAGTATCGTAGCAATATCTGAAGGAAAATAATTCCGTTGTGCCATTACCAAATTTCCCCCTATACTACCCGAGTTTCGGATGAACCCTGAAGCAATCTTCTCCATATGGTTGGCAATTTTTTGGAACACTAACTCACCTTGTGAATGAAACTCACCATTGTTTACTTCCTTCAAAGTTAAGATAGCTTTAGAGATCGTCACAGTTGCTCCAATTATGATCCCCATCTGATCCCTTCTAATCATTGAGAGATCAGGAATGTGCCTCAGATCAATGTATTTGTCGTAGTGATCTACTTCCTTGTAATAACCAGTCCCTGTGTTAGCAACAACTAATTTAACCCGTGTATCATTTTCAGCCAGCAGCATGCTCATAAGCTCCTTAACATTAACTGGCTGATACCAAGAATTACTTTTGGAACTCAAAAGCATAGAAGATCTAATTTCGTTTTTCAAGAACTCAGGAAATGTACAAATCTGATCACTTGGGTTGTAAAATGGTAATTTACTTGCCTTCACTTCATTACTCTCTCCTTTCTTCCAAAAAGAATTGATTCCCAAATCTTCCATGTCAACATCAGCGGCAAAGCTTTTGCAGGCATCAACAATGGGCCGATACCCAGTACATCGACAGAGATTTCCCGCAATAGCCTTTTCAGCTTCTGAAACTGTCAGCTTGGAGAATCCTGGAGGGGGCTCTGACCGTGGTGCTTTTTCAGCGTTGATAAGAGCCGAGAAGAGAGAAATGCACATTCCAGGTGTACAAAATCCACATTGAGAAGCATGAAAACCAGCAAACCTTTGGTGGATTGGGTGAAACCCATCTTTACTATTTCCAAGGCCTTCAGTTGTAGTAATTGAACACTTGTCTACACTGCAAAGAAGGGTAAGACATGAACTTACTGTAAAATTTTCAACTTCTTCATCCACGGGATTATACTTCGACAGTAGAACAACACAAGCACCACAACCACCTGTGACCATAAAAATTTGAAAAAACTATTATCAGATAAATGAAGATATGAGACTTTTAAACAAAAATTCAAACCTGTTAACCCTTGTCAATACCAAGGAACACTTAGAGAGATTGTTATAAACCCAAGACAATTGACAGAAAGTAGCATAACCAGAAGACTTAATGTGACCTGATTCTTGGTTGCCAAGAGAAGTGAAATTAAGGAAAAAGAAAGTAAAACTAAGGGAAAATTACACAAGTGATCCCTATACTTTACAACATGTGTCAATTTAATTCCCATAGTTCCAATTGCGACAAATTTTGCTTGCAATTTTTCACATTGTATCAATTTAGTCTAATTAATAACTGCTTGTCAAAATTTTGGACCAACAATGGTTACATGCGTACTTTGTGACCATTGAACAATCCCCATGAACACTCTCCCCCAAATCCGTCTCTCTATCCACTCATTCGTGTACTTTAGTCCTCACTTTTCTCTCTTCTCCCCCCATCAACTGCTTTATTGCCTGTACCACCACCCCTAAATTTTCCACCATGTCTAAACCTCGAGTGATGACGTTTTGTATTGCACATTGCGGGCTGAGTTGCACAAGTTCAACAACATTGTAGAAGTAGTGATAAATCAATGGATGGATTTGATCACCATTTTCAGTGACTCAACAATTGCGTAGGAAGAAAAAACAACATGACTTCCATTCTTCTCATGGCCATTTGTCTTATTTGGCTTTGTTATTGAAGCTAGAGTCGGTATTTTTGTTCTAGTGTTGTGCTTTGTTGATAACAAGAGTCATCATTGATTGATTCATCACCATTGCTGCCCACAAGCACTCATACCACCTCCTTTTTTCTTTCCCTTCCCCTAACTTCATCCTCTTGGCCGATTGAAAACCAGTACTAGATAACAATTTTAAGGGAAGCAGCCATGGAGGTCATGAATGAATCTGGCATTTTGTTTGGGGATTGCAGATTTACAGAAAATAGATCTCCACATTTTGCTGCTGAACTGTACTAAATCCAAATCCAAATTCTCAACATATATACATGAATCAATATTTTAATAGAGTATGAGACAGAGAGAGCTCAAAGAAGAGCTTTGTGAAGGTGTGCTGATGATGGCTACATGATCGAAATCAAAATAACAGAACACTACTAGATAGTCAAACTTTCAGGATAAGAAAATCCCTTAACCCATCAACCAACCAACCAACCAACCAACTAATCAATGCAAAAGAAACCCAAATTGCCATCCATCAATTCCCACCAATACATACACATGACATAGAAAAAACTAATATATATATATATATATATAGAGAGAGAGAGAGAGAGAGAGAGAGAGACCTTCACCACAACTGAGCTTGACACTCTTGAACCGAGTTTGGGATCGCAAGAATTGGAGCAAAGTAGTAGAAGGATCGACTGTGGAGAGCTCAAACCTCTCTCCATTAACAGCAAAGAGAAGATTCTCTCTTCTTCTTATCGCTGTTTCTCTCTCCTCCATCACCAACCAAGGCACAGCCAAGCTCTCTCTCTCTCTCTCTCCAACAACAAAATACCCAAAATTGAAGAACAAGGGTGCAAAATCGTAGGCATATGCTGACATCCACAGTGATGTCAGTTTACAAAGAGTTTCACATTTTTGCTGGGGTCAAATCTCTGTCTATATCGTTTGATGAATTTCTAGTGGTGGCGTGGAGTAGAGAATCGATAATTGTGAAGTAAAATGATAAAAAACACTCCTCCTGTAATGGCTTTTGTCATTTTCTCAACTGTTGCAGAAAAATGAATAATTTGTAGGGGTCAGTGAGAGTGTCTGATGCTCTGCTTTGCTTTGTGGTTTCCTTATCAACAATGATAGTTATCACTAATTTTGGAGTTTTAAAAAGATCACTAATGATATAGTGCTCAATAAAAAAGAAAAATAATACAACACTAAAGTCAAAATATCAAATCATTCCTGGCGGAGCCCACTCCCACATCATTAGTGATAGCACTAATTAATGTTCTCACTCATTTTCCTTTCCTTATGATAAGCTGCACCCTTGTTTTAAATTGAGCCCTCCTTTGCACCAATTAATTTAGCCTGTTTTTTTTAGTTATTTTAAACCTCGGTTGGAGATAGATAATTTTAATAGTTTTTTAATTTTTTATAAAAAAAAAATATCTAAAAAAATAAAGAGAATGATATAATAATTTATAAAGATATTTTGACTTTTTTTTTATTAAAATGTATAAGTGACTAACGAGACTTATAAAAAAATTATGTTTTAGATAAGTTTTAATTATTTTTTATTGATTTAATAATTATGAGATAAAAAGTAAAATTATTATAATTTAAATGTGATATTTTATTTCTGTAATTAAATTAGTTAATTTTATTTTTATAACTAATTTAGTAAAAAATCTGATGTCACATGGCCAGTGGAAAAATAAAAACCGAAGCACGTGGCATAGTTTGAAAGGGGGGTGGCCGTTAAGTGAAATTAAGGGGACTCCTTTATTTTTTATGGTATATAGCATTAAAAAAATAAAAACCGAAGCACGTGGCATAGTTTGAAAGGGGGGTGGCCGTTGTGCGCGCTCAATTGGACTCCTTTATTTTTTATGGTATATAGCGAGCGGATATATTTTACAAAAATTAACTTGATTGGATGTTAATATTTTTTATTAAACAATATTTATATTTAGGTCAAGTTTGGCTAAACTAAAAAAGTGCACTTATTTCATTTTTTTATCTTTTTTAGGTCACATCAATCAACATCTCCTCTTTACTTTTTCTACACATAATACAAGAAAAGTCAAAAAGTACACTTATTTAGTCTTCCCAAACTTGGCCTTAATTTTATATTGAAAATCATCTTTATTGTTTATTGTTTGGGTGAAGTATCAATAAATTTTAAAATATAATTTTATAAACTATTTAGTCATTTCTTCTTTTTTTTTGAATCTAAAGATCTCATTAAAATAGAAATTACATAAAAGAATAATCACTTACATGTTTCGATTTAATTTTTTAAGAATAAAAGTGAGTTTCTCAAAATATAAAATTACATATTTAGGCAATCTGCACTATAGAAATTTTGAATTTTTTTCTCATTCTAAAACAAATCTCACATTATGAACAAAAACGTAACATTCTAATAATATAACACTTTAATTTAACAAACTAAAAAACTCCATGGTATATTTTTCCTAAACGTAATAATGTAACACTAAAAAAAAAAAAAAATTCCTTAGTATACTTTTTCCAAACAGAACACTCTAATCAATGTAATTCCAAACATAACACTCCAATATAACACACACAAAAATACTAAAAACCTCCTTAGTGTACTTTGTCAAAACGCAACACTCAGAGTTTGAAATTATACTGTCACGACCCCAAACCGCCCCTAGTAGTTTGGTGCCGTGATGGCCAGTAATCCGTAATTACCGAAGGCCAACTTTCAAAAACTTAACACAATCAGAGTATAATAATCGGGGCTCACAAATGCGGAAGCAATAATCTAAAATGCGAGTAGTCCATAAGAGCTGTGCGTAGATCAAATGCAGTGCCAAACATTTCCAATTAACTTTACAACTTGAATACAACAAGTAAAATACGTATTACATCTTGATCAAAAGGCTTCTCGAGCCGACATATACAAAACACAGTAAATACAAGCCAAGAAGCATGATTTTCAAGATTCGCCGACATGAAAGATAAATAACATTGCCGACGTAAGTACAAAACAAAGCCGACATAATCAAGAGTCCAAACAAGCTTTCAAAAACAGTCTAGGCGTCGCCGACGTCCTGTTCATCACCTACATATATATATATAGAGGGTAAGCTTGGATACTCAGTGAATGGTACTAAAAATAAAGGTTTTGCATGAATATAGCCGAAGTCTTTCAAAACGAAACACATCAAACTTTACCGAACAAGGGATGAATCGTATTCATCAATCAAATATCACAAGTTGCAGGGGATGCTTACTGACATCGGCAAAACAAGGGATGAACCGTATTCATCATTCAAATATCACAAGTCTCAAGGGATGCTTACTGACATCGGCGGAATAAGGGATGAACCGTATTCATCATTCAAATATCACAAGTCTCAAGGGATGCTTACTGACATCGGCGGAACAAGGGATGAACCGTGTTCATCATTCAAATATTACAACATCGGCGAAACAAGGGATGAACCGTATTCATCAATCAAGTATTACAAGTATCAAGGGCTGTACGATCCGTTATCGTTTAGTCAAAGGTACTGCGAAAGTTTATAGTCCTCCAGCACAAGGGACTGGTGTTACTTAGGCCCGTAGCCCGATTTAACATAGAAATCTTTTCAAGAAAGGACCGTATCCTTTTACACTTAGTACTGCGAAAGTTTAGAGTCCTTCAGTACAAGGGACTTGTGCACTTGGTACCGCGAAAGTTTAGAGTCCTCCAGCACAAGGGACTTGTGTTACTTAGGCCCGTAGCCCGATTTAACATAGCAAAACTGGTGTTACTTAGGCCCGTAGCCCGATTTAACAAGGACCGTATCCTTTTATACTTAGTACTGCGAAAGTTTAGAGTCCTCCAGCACGAGGGACTTTCCAAGAGAGGACCGTATCCTTTTCAAAGATGGCATCAAAACAAGGAGTATACTTGACACATCAAAACAAGAGCTATTCATTCATGCTTAACAAAACACTTTTGTCAAAACAAAGCAAGCAAGATTTATCAAAACAAGTATAACATAGCTTTATCAATAATACCACTCACCTAGTTCTTCAGGTGTAGACTCAAAGCAAGGATCAAGGTCCTCAAAACTCGAATCCAACGGTTCAAACCACGAAGATTAAGCTTGGAAGACTTACTCACACTTAAGAACTTCTCTTCCTCCCCTCTAGAGCTTCTCTTTCTAAAAACAAAGATTGAGACCAAAAATGATTTGTTTCTAGGTCTGCCGGCTGTCTTAACAACTAGCTCGGACACGTGGCGTTATCGGGTTGGTTTAGCTCAAAAAGGTGATTGATAGATAAGACAAGTCTCTGACAAAGCGTATGCAGCAAGCTCGGGTAAGGCACAACGGCAAGAAATGACATCGGCTCAAATCAAAGCTTCGGCAACCGGATGACAAAAACATCGGCTAGGGAGGACGACACTTGACTAAGTTGTGCCACGCCTTGGCCGGGGTGTGCCACATCTCGGCCTAGGCCATACCTGCCCAAGGACAAGGTTCAGCAAGTGCAAAAACATCTCGGCAACAAGCCCGAGGTGAAGATAGGGGTCGACCAAGGTCTCAAAACAGTTCTAAGTACAAGGGTTCAAAGGCGAACTAAGTTCAAGATGACTTCGGCCACACACACACACCGAACAAGGAACAAAACTACGCAAGCAATACAAACAAAACAAGGCAAGCAGAAATCATTCCAATAAACACAACAAGGCAAGATCATCAGGAATGTATGCAAGTATGACAAGAGTAAGGTGAGGGTCGTTACATATACATTTGTCCAAAACTTACTAAAGAATATTTGTACATATTTTGAAATGATTTGAAGAATCTCACATCTTTTTTTTTTTAGTGTTACATTGGAATGCTATATTTAGAAAAAATACACTAAGAATTTTTTTGTGTGTTACATTAAAGTGTTACACTAAGGAATTTTATATGTGTTACATTAGAGTGTTACACTAAGAAATTTTTTTGAAGTATTATATTAGAGTGTTTCGTTTGAAAAAAGTACACTAATAAAAAAATTTTTGCGTTACATTAGAGTGTTATACTAAGAAATTTTTTTGTGTTACATTAGAATGTTACATTAAGAAGTTTTTATGGAGCATTATATTAGAGTGTTAAGTTTAGGGAAAAAATACACTAAGAATTTTTTTTTTTTTTTTGATATTACGTTAGGGTATTACACTAATTTTTTTTTTAGAGTGTTACATTGGAATATTACAGTGTAAAATTATACATGTGGCTAAAACTTACAAAATAGTTTTTATACTCCTTTGAAAATATTTGAAGAATCCCACGTCATTTTGAAATGTTTAAAGAATCTTATATTT